CCTGGATCACCTCGACTGCACTTGCCAGGTCTCCTCCCAGCACCTGACCCGCCCCTGTGGGTTCTAGTGACAGAGGAATTTCCCCCTTTGCTCCTGTTTTGGGGCAGTGCTGTGCACACTGTTGAATTTAGCAAGTGTTGGCTAATTTGAACTGAATTCTCAGGCTTATTTTTTCCTTTTCCAGATCAAACCGGTGGTGCATTGTGACATAAATGTGCCTTCCAGGTGGCAAACATGTCATCGTATATCCCGACATATAAAGTGAGTACAGTATTATGGGTGAAAAAATCAAACTGTGCCATAGCTGCTAAAACAGACTTTCTAACCCGACAGACGCTCCTTAGTGTCCTTGCTGTCCCTCCTCCTCCTCCTCCTCACCCCACTGTCTCCTGCTCTCACGCCCCGACAGCTGATTTCTTTTTCCTAGACCACCTTCTCTCTGCCTCAACTGTTCAGGTGCTACCCTTTCTTTCTCCTCTTGAGCCCTAATTTTGGAAAAGAAAAGCAATCCAGTGCCGTTGTCTGCAGAACGTTCACCCGGGGATGCGAAGAGCAGAGCTTCACACACAGCTTAGTTTTAGGCTCTTAAATTTTGTTTTGATTTTTTTTGACTAAATATTTGGTTTCTATATAAATCAAGGTCATAACCACACCGTTGACATGTAATACTGTTATAATGCAACAGTTAAACGTGTGAGTCCACAGCAGAAGGCATGTGTCGTGAAACAGGAAACTGTTTTGGTGTTTTTAATGTAGCAGTTGCAGCTGCAGCATGTTGAAGGGAAACTTAAAAGCTGTTTCCTCGCCCCACCACCTCTTGCTACCAAAGGCCCTTGCGGGCCACAGCACATCCGAACCAGGTACTGCTGCAGGAGCAGAATGCATTAGAGCCTCGCTGGCCACTGCCCTGGGATGCCCCCGGCAGTGCCAGGCACCGAGGTGCTCAGCGGAAGGCAATGGGACTAGTCGTGAGCTCTGTCTGTGTCAGTCTGCATTATGTTTTTGGGGTTGGAAAAAGACAGCGCACTTGACTCAAACTCAACGTCGGTTCACATCCCGGCTTTTGTACTTACCAGCTTGGGACCTGCACCTGCTGCTTCACTCTGGGGCTGTCTCCCGCTGTGGAAAACAGGGCTGGGGATATCTGTGCAGCACGCTCTGGTGGGGGTAGCTTCAGGAATGTTTGCAGCTAGCCCCACCGGGCTTGTCACAGCGTAGCAGTTCTCTGATCGACCGTTCTTCCCTGTGTCCTTTTATTGGGATGTTTTAGTATTTTAGTGATTAAAAGCCCTGACGTGGACATCTTTCCATTTTACCACGTGCTGGTCCGAATGGAAGCAATTTTAGTGAGTTTCCAGAGAATCCTGGGCTGTTCATGTGGGGGTACCAGCAGCGGTGTCTCATCCCAGCCCTGTGTGAGCTGGAGTCACTGCTACCATGTGTCCTCTCAGTCCCGAGAGGCAAGGGCTTGGAGGCTCATGAGGCTGGAAACTCCCTGATTCACGGGACAGATCCCCAGGCTGGGAAGGAGAAAGATGAAGGAAAGACGGTGACCCCGAATTTGCCAGACTTGGCTCCTTGCACTTTTCCTTAGAATCTCAATGGCCATTTCTTTAAAATACCTTACTTTAGGCCGGGCGCGATGGCTCATGCCTGTAATCCCAGCACTTTGGGAGGCCAAGACGGGTGGATCACGAGGTCAAGAGATAGAGACCATCTTGGTCAACACGGTGAAACCCCGTCTCTACTAAAAATGCAAAAACAATTAGCTGGGCACAGTGGTGCGTGCCTGTAATCCCAGCTACTCAGGAGGCTGAGGCAGGAGAATTGCCTGAACCCAGGAGGCGGAGGTTGCGATGAGCCGAGATCGCGCCATTGCACTCCAGCCTGGGTAACAAGAGCGAAACTCCGTCTCAAAAAAAAAAAAAAAGAAAAAAAACCTTACTTTAAGCTTCTTCAAGGGGGCCACCTAAATACATCTTTCGTGTACCTGAGAGCTGTTTTGAAATAATAAATGACACAGTATTTCTAAGTTCTGTTAATGACATATTTCCTGCAGAACATATGGCGACTCAGGGAACGTCGTTGTGTTGTGACGTTGTGAGTCCTTCTTGCCAAAGGCACCATCACTAGACCACATTTGGTGGTGTGACCCAGGCCGTCAGTGAGCCTCACTCACTTGACAGACATGATTATTCTTTTCAATTAGAAGCCACCCACTGGGGCAGCATTGGCCATCCTTTGTCTCGGTGTGTTGGAAGTTCCACTAGATGGACCCAAATATCCATCTGAATGCAGGGTCCTTCCTACCACGAAAAATCCTGGTCAAGTTCCTTGGAGTCCTTGTAACTATAAAAACACATAAACAACAGTTATGATGGCTTTCAGAGGCATAGATGCTCAGGAGAGAGAGGCTGGCCGTGACCTTTCCTGGCTGAGGAGGGTCGGTGAGGGGTGAGTGGCTTGTTGAGCTGTGTTCTGTGGCAGCTGGATGCTCCCACATCCAGACAAAACCTGGGGCTCCCACAATGGGGTCACCTAGGGCTTGAGCTGGTGGTGAGTGCATGGGTTGGAAGTCATCAGTCTGGAGATTGAGGCTCAGATGGAAGCTCTGGTCCTGGTACTGACTGGCAGTTCTGGAAATTAGGATTCTGTCCTCCGCCAGAGACTGGGAGACAGGCCCCATCCTGCCTGAGGCTTGCAGTTCAAGGGAGGGGTCTTAGGTGCGGGAGAGCGTCTCATTGCAAGAGATGTGTATTTGTCAATGCTCTAAGAAAGCGGTCAGGAGCCTATCTCAGGTGTGGGCTGGGGCGAACAGTACATGTTCCTGGCAGCCCTGGGTTTTTTCAGGTGGGAGTTTAGTGGTGGGGCTGGGGTCATCCTACGGCTGTGGCCTGCTGCTGCTGGACACGGGTTAGAGTTGGTTGTCTTGGTGCAGATTTGGGGCAGAGTTGTCATAGGCTGACACTCAGTTCTGCAACACTCGGTCCCTCTTCCTGTTCATGAGGGACAGCAGGTATATTTCTTGTAGAACAACCACTGCCTGTCATAAGGGGGAGTTGAGGAGGACAGTCCAGCTTTTGCTTCCAACTGCTGTGTGTTCAGGAGGAGCTGAGAGATGGCCGAGGAGCACAACCCTCCCACAAGGGTGGTGTACATCGGGAGATGAAGGCATGACCGCTGGAATGGATACAAAGAAGCCTGAGGCCAGGCACAGTGGCTCATGCCTATAATCCTGGCGCTTTGGGAGACCGAGGCAGAAGGATCACTGGAGCCTAGGAGTTTGAGACAATCCTGGGCAACATAGTGAGACCCTGTCTCTAAAAAAAAATAATAAACTGAGTCTCTCAAGTAGCTCCGTAAACCATCCAGTGAGTGGAGGAAATCCTTTAAGGCGAGTCAAGTCAGTCCTTCTGGAGGGTATAAGCTGAGTCAGCTGTGTCTTGGGTATGAGCCTTTGCTGTGAGGGTCTCTTGCCAGATTTCCACTCGAGTGTCATCTACAAACAGGTAACACTGAGGACTGACTCTGCACAAACACCTCCCTGGCTGCCAGTCAGTAGTCCGAGGCTAGTCTGTTTTGTGAAGTCATTTACAAAGTGCTGACACTTCTGGGGTTAATGATGCCGCAGCTCGTCCTGAGTTGGAGAGAGAATCTTCCAGGTCTGGGGCTGGCTTTGCTGACCCCCTTTGTAACCTTGTAGTGTATCCATTGTCACAGGCAAGGGTGCTGCAGGAGGAAAAGTCCACCCTACTAGGCGGGCTCCGGGCAGCAGGTCCCACTTAAGGTGGGTCCCTGTCCACCAGTGCTTGGTCCACAAGTCTCAGGACCAGAAGCTGGAGCAGCACTCGTGTTTCTGAGTCTCCTTTGCGAAGTTTGTCACATTTAGCCACTTTAAGGTCAGCATGGGCCACATGACAGGACCCAGTCCACTGGCTGGTTGCACTTTCTAAGTGTTATGACCACATCATACACAATAATGACCTTTATGAGCATCAGGTTATTGGGTATTGCCTGTCCTGGTTGTGACAGGCTAAGCAGGAGTCATCCCCAGAGGGAGGAAAGTAACAGTAGACTACTGTCTTCTTGCTGGTTGGGCGTTTTAGTCGTGTTCAACCCGCAATCCCATTTGCCTGGTTTCTTTGCCAAATAATTTCCTGTGATGTTGACGTCATGGGGTGTTGAAGGAAGATGATGCCTAAAGGGAGTCTGGTCCTTACACTGAGCCCGTTTCATGGGAATAGAAAGTGTCTTGCCACAGGGACACGAAGGGTTCCCTGTGTCCCACAGACAGGCCAAGTCTATTAGGCTGATTTCCTGTGAACGGTCACGTTGCTGAGCTCACGAGGCCATGTCGTAGTCCCAGCCTTGGGGGACTACAAGTTACAGTTTGTGCCACTTCAGAAGGGGACTGCTCTGGTGGTATGTATGGGATGTTTCCTGTCAGGACCTTATTTATGGGTAAGACGAGGCCACTATGAAGGGGTTCCCAGTTTCAGGACTGAGTAAGGAAGGGGGCGGTGAGTGCAGACCCAGGAATTCACCTGTTGGTCTCATTGGCTGCCTGGTGAGCCGAGAGAATGAGGGAGTGGTGACCGCCCTAGGAAGGCACAGGCAGAGTGAGACTGGGGGACCAGGGAGGGCCCAGTGGAAGGCTGGGTGTGGTTCTGGGGAGCAAGGAGTAGTTGATGCAATTGGGAAGAAGATGCAGGAATCGTAGGAGGAGATTTAGTTTGTTGGGGAGTGTGAAAAGGCAGGAGCGTCGTGGGCTCTTGTTCCATGATCTGGAGAGAAGCCACCCGTGTCATGGCATCACCTGCTGGTTCCACGGTTGTTGGGACAGTTGTCTGCCTCTGGCTGTCATCTGCTGCTGGAGGCCGTCGGTACAACTGTGGTTTGAGACCTCTGGTTAGATGCTTTCCAGTCTGAATCATCCTTATATGTTTTTTTAGCCATGAGACATGGACAAAGGTTGAACACCTTGTAATTGGATCAGCAATGAACAAAACAGCACGAGGTCCTTCTTGTGTGGATTCAAGGTTAGTTTCCTGATGGGGGCACTTCCAAAATACCAGATCTCATATCTGCAAATTGTGTAAAGGCTGGTCAAGGAGTTTGAGAGGAAAAGTGGCGTTGATTGTAGGACTGTGTGTATTTAATTAGCTCCCGACAGTGTCTGAGGATGTCAGACTGCGTTAAATTGAAATCCCTTGTTAGCCAGGGGGTGTGGGGCATTCTCAGGTCTTCCTGTAATGGTTTCAAAGGGAGACCGTGTCTGAGGAGGATGGGGTGAGGGTCTGGGAGTCAAAAGAAGGATGGGTGACACCCCTGGCCGTAGAAAGCCCAGTTCTTCAGACAGCTTAGCCAGCTTGGACTTTGGACACCATGGGCTCTTCCTAAGAGGCCTGCTGGCTGAGGCTGTAAGGGCGGTGGAGTCTTTGACTGATGTGTTGTATTTTTAGTGCTTGTGTAATTTTGCTAGTAAAATGTGATCTTTCATTAGAAATTGTAGAGGGGATACCCCAAGTGGGATAGATTACTTCCAGAAAAATGTTGGCAACTGACATCGTGGAGGCATTTTGGCATCGGAAAAATCTCTAGCCGCTTAGAAAACATGCAGATCAGTGTGGGGACATATTGGGGACGTATTGGCTGCTGGGACTCTGGTAATTGGATAAAGTCTGCTTGTCAGTGAAGGAGGGGGCCAGAGAAAGCTGTTTCCCTTCCTCAGCCCATGTTTAGAATTTTCCCAGGGCTATGTTTCTGGCAGATGACGTGAGGGGCAGCTGCTTGGTCCAGATAAAAGCTAAAGGGTTCAAGCCATTGTTTGTCCAGTATGTGCTGCATTTGGACCTTTCTGGGCTGAGTCAGGTGTAACCATGTACAGTGACTCTGGCGATAGACTTGGGTGGGGCATGTGGAGCTCCTGTGTTATTTCCTTGGGAGGCATCTTGAAGAAGTTGTTTCCTTCACGGGAGGTTAGGTTGCCATAACAAAATACGTGGGGACTGGGTAGTTTATAAACAACAGAAATTTTTGCCCACAGTTCTGGAGGCTGATATGGAGGTGCCAGCGGGTTTGGCATCTGGCACAGAGGTGCCTTCTCTCTGTGTCCTCCCTGATGGAGGGGCAGGCGAGCTCTCTGAGGCCTCCTGTATAAAGGCACTCACCCCAGTCATGAACCTAAGCCCCTCATGACCGCATCTCCTTTCAAAGGCCTCCCCTCTGATGTTTTTGCATTGCGGATTTGGTTTCAACGTGAACTGGGGGATGAGGGGACACAGAATTCAGACAGTAGCAGAGGGCGAATAACCCCATCAAGGGCCAGGAACCAGCGGTGTGGGCTCAAGGCCAGGAGACCATGTGGGTTTCACAAGTGGTGGGGGAAGAGGTCCCAGTTTGGCTTATTTATTAGCCCATTTATTTTCCCAAGTCTCATCTGACTTCTTTATACCATACCCCTCCATTTTAATAATAGCAGTTTGCTGGGGCAATAACAGTGCTTCCAGAAGTTCTGCTGTTTGACTCACGTACTGGCTGCTGTTGTGCATCCCCCATTTCCGTAGCACCAACATCACATACTGCCCAAAGGCATGGTGGCTGGCAGCGTAGGTGTTTCACCTTCCTTTCTTCTGTCTTCATGCAAGCCCCAGTGAGAGTGATTCATTCAGCCTCCTTGGCTGATTTAACACATGGCAGGGCTCGATAGCCAAGAGGTGTGTGCTGATCAGTGATGGGATATCCAGCCTGGAATGGCTCATCCTCCCTCCAGAGATAGGAGCCATAAAGAGTGAGATCTGCTTAGGGCAGAGGGGTTTCTGATGAATCTAATCTAGGATGAGATGATCATCTGATGTTAGTGACATGGGTGTCCCGTCCATGGTTAGTGGATGCAAGTGGCAGGGTTAAGGCTTTGATGCTATAGTATGGTTATGTGAGGGGGGAAAGCAGTAGATTTCATAAGAGGGAATTTTGGCCACAGAGAAATGCTGTATTCTCATTAAGCAGTAGGGTCTGTAAGGTCTGAATGGGATGAGGAATGCATGTGTCCAGAGAGGCAGCCAGGACAAGACTGGTAATTGCAGCCCTGGCTCGCTGGTGGGGGATATGCCTCAACTCCGGAGCTCGGCAGAAGCGCTCACAGCCCAGCTTTTCATGTGTTGGGAATGAGACTCCAAGACATAATCCTCTCCTTCATTAACAAGAAGGACGAAGGCAGGGAGGAATTGGAAAGTTCGAGGTGGGTGAAACTAGAGAGCCCTTCAGGTTCTTGAAAATGTCTTTAGATGGGGGGTTCCTTACTGCTGGGTCTGGGGATGACTCCCTCATCATGGCCTAAAAAGAGGAGGCAATTGGAGAGAAATTGGGTGTCCACATCCTGCAGCACCTCACAAACCCCCCCTGCTCCCGACCCCAATTGTCCTTTTGCTTCCAGGAAAGGAAAATGTTGAGGATTAGAAACTTGGTCTTTTTTTTTTTTTTTTTGTGACCAAGATATCATAGCCCAGATACCAGACACACAGAGAGGATAATTGACCTTGGCGTCTAGCCACTCCACGGCCTAAGGAGGCATTCAGCACACAGAAGGGAGCTGTTGTAACTTTCAGAACATAGGAGGAGATCATCCACAAATTGGATTACAGTCGAGTTTCCTGGGAATTTTACCTCCTTCATATTTGCACTTACGGTGCATGAGAACTAGGTAGGGGCCTCAGCAAATCCTTGGGGCATAAGGGTCTAGGAATATGGTTCATCTTCCCAGGTGAAGGTGACAAGCATGAGGAATTTTCACGACAGGGAATTCTAAAAAGGCAGGGCACGCATCGATGACCGTGGAATGCGGGGTGTCAGAAGTGATCACAGCCAGGACAGTGTCGGCGTCAGGCACCAAGGAAAACCTCGGTTTCACAGGCTTTTGATCTTAGATCCGTGGATATTTTTCCATTTGGCTTATTAGAGGCTGGAACGGGAGTGTGGCATGGACTAGAAATATCGGGCAGTACCTTTCAAGTCCCTCTGGTTTTAAATGATTTTTGGGAATCTTGGGGAGCGGCATGGAAGGATATATTTCTGTCTTTCAGGGTTCTGCATCCAAATACATCTTACATTTGTGGAGTTTGTGACCCACAAAGCAGGAGGAGTCCTGCCTAACAGCTGACGATGCCCTTGGCTAAATGAGTGCCAGGTGGAGGGAAGCCGAGAACTTAGGGAAGTCAGACACAGTGTCAGGAAACATAAACGAGAGGAAAGGAGTCCCTGGGGACACAGTGGATCCTAACACCCTGATCAGGACAGGACCCCTGCCTCGGAAAGGAGTCCCTGGGGACACAGTGGATCCTCACGCCCTGATCAGGACAGGACCCCTTCATCAGAAAGGAGTCCCTGGGGACACAGTGGATCCTAACACGCTGATCAGGAGAGGAACCCTTCCTCGGAAAGGAGTCCCTGGGGACACAGTGGATCCTCACGCCCTGATTCAGGAGAGGAACCCTTCCTCGGAAAGGAGTCCCTGGGGACACAGTGGATCCTCACGCCCTGATCAGGAGAGGACCCCTGCCTCAAAAAGGAGTCCCTGGGGACACAGTGGATCCTCACGCCCTGATTCAGGAGAGGACCCCTGCCTCGGAAAGGAGTCCCTGGGGACACAGTGGATCCTCACGCCCTGATCAGGAGAGGACCCCTGCCTCAAAAAGGAGTCCCTGGGGACACAGTGGATCCTCACGCCCTGATTCAGGAGAGGACCCCTGCCTCGGAAAGGAGTCCCTGGGGACACAGTGGATCTTCACGCCCTGATTCAGGAGAGGACACCTGCCTCGGAAAGGAGTCCCTGGGGACACAGTGGATCCTCACGCCCTGATCAGGAGAGGACCCCTGCCTCGGAAAGGAGTCCCTGGGGACACAGTGGATCCTCACGCCCTGATCAGGAGAGGACCCCTGCCTCGGAAAGGAGTCCCTGGGGACACAGTGGATCCTTACGCCTTGATCAGGAGAGGACCCTTTCCTCGGAAAGGAGTCCCTGGGGACACAGTGGATCCTCATGCCCTGATCAGGAGAGGACCGCTGCCTCGGAAAGGAGTCCCTGGGGACACAGTGGATCCTCACGCCCTGATCAGGACAGGACCCCTTCATCAGAAAGGAGTCCCTGGGGACACAGTGGATCCTCACGCCCTGATCAGGAGAGGAACCCTGCCTCGGAAAGGAGTCCCTGGGGACACAGTGGATCCTCATGCCCTGATCAGGAGAGGACCGCTGCCTCGGAAAGGAGTCCCTGGGGACACAGTGGATCCTCACGGCCCTGATCAGGAGAGGACCCTGCCTCGGAAAGGAGTCCCTGGGGACACAGTGGATCCTCACGCCCTGATCAGGAGAGGAACCCTTCCTCAGAAAGGAGTCCCTGGGGACACAGTGGATCCTCACACCCGGATCAGGACAGGACCCCTTCATCAGAAAGGAATCCCTGGGGACACAGTGGATCCTTACGCCCTGATCAGGAGAGGAACCCTTCCTCAGAAAGGAGTCCCTGGGGACACAGTGGATCCTCACACCCGGATCAGGACAGGACCCCTTCATCAGAAAGGAGTCCCTGGGGACACAGTGGATCCTCACGCCCTGATCAGGACAGGACCCCTTCATCAGAAAGGAGTCCCTGGGGACACAGTGGATCCTCACACCCTGATCAGGAGAGGACCCCTTCATCAGAAAGGAGTCCCTGGGGACACAGTGGATCCTCACGCCCTGATCAGGACAGGACCCCTTCCTCGGAAAGGAGTCCCTGGGGACACAGTGGATCCTCACGCCCTGATCAGGACAGGACCCCTTCATCAGAAAGGAGTCCCTGGGGACACAGTGGATCCTCACGCCCTGATCAGGAGAGGACCCCTTCCTCAGAAAGGAGTCCCTGGGGACACAGTGGATCCTCACGCCCTGATCAGGAGAGGACCCCTTCCTCAGAAAGGAGTCCCTGGGGACACAGTGGATCCTAACACCCTGATTCAGGACAGGACCCCTTCCTCGGAAAGGAGTCCCTGGGGACACAGTGGATCCTCACACCCTGATTCAGGAGAGGACCCCTTCCTTGGAAAGGAGTCCCTGGGGTCACAGTGGATCCTCACGCCCTGATTCAGGAGAGGACCCCTTCCTCTGTCCTTTCGAGAAGGCAGGGGTCTAATTGAGCAGATTAACACAAGTCACCTACGGACGGCTAAAGTAAAAGAGCACCCACCAGGGCTTCAGGAGCTGTAAACATTTACCCCTACACACTGCTGTGGGGTCGGGCCCCACAACCTGCCCATCTGTATGTCCCCCTAGAGGTTGAGCAGCGGGGCACCGAAGAAGTGAGCCACATGCCCCTCACACGTCCTGTGATGGGGACAAGGGAACTTTTCCTGTTTCACAACCGCTGTTAACCTTAAGGCACCTTTACTCCTCATGCTCGTTCTGTAGCCCGCTGTTGTGGGTTTTGTCTACAACATTAATTATATTTGACCCCTTTCCCCCTGTAGATATAAATTCTGCATAAATAATTTTTAATGGCTGTATACTTTATGGTGTGACCGTGGCATCATTTATTTAACCAGTCATCTATACTTAGACATTTTATATTTTTGGCTTCATACATAATTCCATGAGAAATGTCATCATCTATAAGTCTTTGTCCACTTGTCTGTGGGGTGAATTTTGTGGTGTGGGGTGACTGGGTCAGTGATTATCGATCCCTTATATTACATTGATCTATTTTGCCAAAGTGTCCTTCAAGAAGGCTGTGCGGATTTCCAGCTACATCAGCAGTGGGTTGGTATGCCTCTTCCTCAATACTCAGGATAAGACTATACATTAAATTTCTTAAAAATTGGGACAAAAATGTAACAAGTCCTTGTTTAAACATTTATTACTTTTATTCCTGTTAGTAATCTCTATTTAGAAAAACTTGCAGCCTAAACCAGGTAAGAAAACCAATAGTTGGAAACACTGTAGCAAACCTGCATTGTACCTGTGATAGCACGTTGAGAAGCGACGCTGTGACTTGCAGAGAACATTTCCGTTGATGACTTCTTGTGGGCGGCATCTTAACTGTGGAAGAAGCTGGACTCTGGGTGGATTGGAAGTCTCTTTTGCCACAAAACCTTAGCAGAGAAAATGGATTCTCTGTATTGTGACAAACATATTAAATTAATATTTGTATTTACTTTAAAGTGAGATATTTCTCAAATTCTAAGTTTTTTGAATTTGAGGAAAAAGACAACAAAATGGCAGTAACAGTAAATGATAATGTCAAAAAAATAACCAGAATAGCGAAGTTGAGCTTCTGTATTGTTAAAAGATATCAAAGATAACATTTATTATTTTTAGACTTAAACCATACATCTTGTATTTTACACTATTTTAATGTGAATTACAAGAGTTTGAAACTATTGCAAGTGTCTGATTACGGCCTAGTCTTATGAACGCTTCCAACTTGGTATTGGGTTTTGAAAATCTAAGTAGTTCCTTTCCCTCAACACATAGAAATAATTAACAAGCCCCCCTGCAAGATTACATCGAAGCTGCCCTAAAACTCAGGAGTGAAATACGTGGTTTCTGTTAATTTTTCAAAGGAATGCATATAATTTTCTTTGGGAGATGATCTTGGCTCCAGGGAAAGGGAAAACAGCTACATTCTTTAAGGCGAAATCATCTGCCTGTTTTCCACATGGACACAATTTTCTTTCATTTTACCCATCACAGTCGTGGAAGATGTGTTTTTAAACAGTGGAGACATTATAAAATGCCCAGATTTTATCAAGCTGCACAGAATGTCACAATGTGGGGTTGGAGCCTCACAGCCTGCCTGTCTGTATGCCCTCCTGGAGGTTCGAGCAGCGGGGCACTGAAGAATCGAGCCACACCCCCATCGCACGCACTCTGAGGTGGACAAGGGAACATTTCCTGTTTCACAGCCACTATTAACCTTAAGGTACCTTCACTCATGCTCTTTCTGTAGGCCACTGTTGTGGTTTTTGTCTACAGCAAAACCATAATATATGTGTATATATATATATGTCTACATCACCAGGCTCTGTGACATTCTATGCGGCTTGATAAGGTCCTCTACAGGGTATGGTATGCAGTATTGGAGGCTGCTTAGTGCATCCTGTGTGTGTGTGTATACATATTTATTTATATTTATATATATGGAGGATTTATTATATATATGTATATACTTTGAGTTTTCAATGTTTCCCCCTTAATGTATTAATGGATGTTTTTCTTTTTATTCTTACAGTGTTTTTACAAATGGAAGATTATTTGTTCCACCTGCAAAGATTATTATACCCCAGTTTAGCCTGTCTGATTGGGATATCGTGCTGGCCATGATTGGAGAAAAAGTCTTCCCTCTAGGAGGTGTCCGGAAGTAAGGAGACTCTCAGCTGAAGGACAGCCGGGGGTAGCAGCCTGTGTTTATTCTCTTCTATGAGAGTTTTCTGCCCGGACCAGCAAGGTCTAAAATGATTCACCACAAACTCTTAATTTTAATTCTTCTAACAGATGGTATCGTCTCAATCTTGGTACCATACTCACTTTTAACCTGTCTCATTAATTTATTCATTCAACAAACCATGGAACATCTGCTATGTGGTAGGGGTAGAGAATACAGCCTTGCAGAAAAGAGTCTTGCTCCCTTGAAACCCCTCCTGATGGGGCCAACCATTCAGGTTGCTAGAATGCTGCAGTTGTTCGTGTTCCCTGTCCTGGATCCGGGAACCAGCTGCGGGTGGAGTTCTCGGGAGTAGAGTTTGGGGTGGGAGAAAGGGAAGCCACGGAGGAGCATGCAGAGGAGCTGCAGTTGGTCTGGTGGAGCCAGGCCTGTGGGAGCTGGTGTTTGAATTGAGTCTTGGCAGAGATGGGGGGAACTGAATTCCATGGGACAGAAGGGCATGTGGGAAGGAACTGGTGTGTGTAATGGCTTCTCGCATGGGCTTGGGGGTCCGATGTGCAGGAAAATCTCTCCACCGTCCGTGTCTTTGTTATCTCCGGGACATTTCTAACTTCTCGATGCATATTTTGTCCTCTGGAAAACTGGAAGTAATAATAATACCTACTTCCAAGGGTCCTAATATATGTACAGTGCTTAGCGTAACACTAGATGCATAGTAAGCATGAAATGGGGTTTGTGATTGTGATTGTGACAGTCGATGAGGCACAAACAGGCAGAGCGTGTTGAGGAAGCACGCCACTGTCATCACAGGAAATTCAGCACTACTGTGAGGGAAGCGGCCGGTCCCGTGAGTACCTTACAGACCAGGCAAGGCGCTTGCTGTCTTGCAGCCACTGTGTCCCACTGGCGTGAAGGAAAGCTCACAGCGGTCGTCATGATGATGGATTGAGGGTGGGAGGTGAGAGATGTGCACTGAGCCAGGTGACTGTGAAGATAATCTGAGGTGGCCTTGAGTTTTAACCACATTCAGGCTGAAAGTGAAGGGATGGGAAAAACATCCCATGCAGGTGGAAACCAGAAGAGAAGAGGGACAGCTGTACTTACATTGGAAAAAATAGACCTCATGTGAAAAGCTGCAGCAAGAGATCACTGCATTGTTAAAAGGGTCAGTCCATCAAGAAGGAAGGTCAGTCCATCAGGAAGGAAGGTTAAAAGAAGGTCACTGTATTGTTAAAAGGGTCAGTCCATCGAGAGTATACAACATTTATAAATATATACGCAACCATCGCTGGAGCACCTAAATACACAATATGCCAGTATTCCGAGAACCGAAGGGAGACGTGGACAGCAATGCAATAAATAACAGGAGGCGACTTCCGTACCCACTTTCAACAACGAATACGTCATCCAGGCAGAAAGTCGTTAAGGGAACTGCGGACTTAAGTAACGATAGAAACCCAGTGGGCTCAACAGCCTTCTGAACATTCTGCCCACCAGCAGCAGAGTACACATTCTTCTCGTGTACACCGCATTCTTCAGGGTAACTCACATGTTAGGCCACAGACCACGTCTTAGCAAATGTGAGACTGAAATCATATCGAGTATTTTTTCTGACCATAATGATACAAAACTAGAAATCAGTGACAGGAGCAACATTGGAAAATTCACAAATATGTGTAAATTTCACAGTGTGCTCCTGACAACCACTGGGTCAAGGAAGAAATCTAAAGGGACATGAAAAAAGTCTCTTGAGACCAACGAAAATGGAAATGCATACTAGAACTTATGGGAGTCAGCAAGAACAGTTGTAAGAGTGAATTTTATAAAGAAAAATGCCTATAATGGCCAGGCGTGGTGGCTCATGCCTGTAATCCCAGCACTTTGGGAGGCTGAGGTAGGTGGATCACCAGAGGTCAGGAGTTCAAGAGCAGCCTGGCCAACATGGTGAAACCAGTCTGTACTAAAAATACAAAAAATTAGCTGAGTGTGGTGGCAGTCGCCTGTAATCCCAGCTGCTTAGGAGGCTGAGGCAGGAGACTCACTTGAACTGGGGAGGTAGAGGTTGCAGTGAGCCAAGATTGCACCATTGCACTCCAGCCAGCAAAACTCTGCCTCAAAAAAAAAAAAAAAAAAAAAAAAAAAAGAAAAAAAAAGAAAAATGCTTATATTAAGGAAAAATAAAGATTTCAAACAACCTCACATTACACCTCACTTTCATTAACGGAATGAAACACAGAAATCATACGATCATCTCAATAGATGCAGAAACAGCACTGGACAAAATTCAACATCCTGTCACATCAAAGCTCTCAGCCCATTAGTATAGAAGGAATGTATCTCAACGTAATAAAAGCCAAATAAGACAAGCCTGCAGCTAACATCACACTCAATGGTGAAAAGCTGAAAGCGTTGCCTCTAAGATTAGGAACAAGGTGAAGGCGTCCACTCGTTCCGCTTACCTTCAGCGTGAGGCTGGAAGTCCCAGCAAGGGGAGTCAGACACGGAGAAGAAACAAAAGGCATCCACACTGGAAAGGAAGACGTCAGGTAATCTGTGTGCAGGTGATACGATTTTATATGTAGAGAACCCGAGACGGCACCAAAAAACTAGAATAAAAGAATTCGGCAATGTTGCAGGACACTAAACCAACATACAGAAATCAGCTGTGTTCCCACATAATCCCAGTGAGCTATCTGGAAAAGAAATCAGGAGAACAATCCCATTTACCAAAGCACCAAAAAGAGTAAAACACTTAGGAATAAATGTAACCAAGCAAGTGAAAGCTCTCTACACTGAAAACTGTGAAACACCGATGAAGGAACTTGAAGAAGGTACGAGTACGTGGGAAGACCTCCGTGTTCATGGACTGGAAGAGTTAGCGTTCCTCCAACGTTATACCAGAGCAACTGCAGCAATGAGGGTCCTTTTCTGAGGTGGGGAGTCCTGCAGAGGAGCAGGTTTGTGTGTTGACGGCAAGTTGAAGAATCAACTAACGCATGCCTGTGGGACCCCCCGGGCCTGGGCTGCAGACGGAGCTGAAGCCTGACTTTTAGACTGGCGATGTGTTAACTCCGTGGCCGGTGGAGCTGTGTGTGTGGATGCGGCCCCAGGGAGAAGCCAAGTCAGATGCATCAGCCGCTGGTCATCTTGTGAGAATGTGGGGCCGTTGTGGTCAGATTTTTCACAAGAAGTCAGAAACGTCAAATCATTAAAACAAAGACAAGAACCCTTCTCTAATCGGTTGCTTTTATGCCCCTATTCTGCCCACAGGCAAGGTTTTGGATATCCTATAAGTATCCTGTAAGGGGATCTTTGCTTTCCTCAGCAGCTCTTCTGCCTCAGGTTTGTGCCCTCGTTGTCCTGTTGCTGGACTGGGTTTCCACCTTTATGTGGCCCTGCCCGTTGTTGCCTCATCTGACCACTTGGCACTTGATCCTGCCTTTGCCCAGATGCGATTGTTTTGAATTCTTTTGCCTCGTTTTCTGTGAGATGGACTCCTGGCACTCTGCCTGTTCCCTGTCCTGGATCCGGGAACCAGCTGGGGGTGGAGTTCTTGGGAGTAGAGTTTGGAGTGGGAGAAAGGGAAGCCAGGGAGGAGCATGCAGAGGAGTTGCAGACTCCAGAGCAGAGGCAGGGTGTGGTGGTGGGTGCCTGGGGTGGCAGAGCGGCCTGGGAGGGCACAGCCTGGAAGCCTGGGCCAGATCGGCTTCCAGCGAACACCAGGGCCGAGGCCGGCGAGCTGAGACCTAGAACGTCCTCTCTGACTGCACTTAGCAGGTGGCCATGGGCTCTTTGAGATGGAAGCCAGGTCCTGTGGGTGGGCTTGAGTTGGGGGTGAGAAAGCAGACATTGGAGTGTAGGGACCACGTAGCTGTGACTGGGGAGAGTGGGGTGATGTAGGAGACGTGGGATTGCGGCTTGAGGGGTTCAGGGCAAAGACGTGGTCAGCACTGAACAGGAGGGGCCTGAGCACACCTCTCTTCTGTGAAGAGAGGTGAAGTCCCAGTGGAGGGGAAGAGGGTGAAGGTGGAGGGAGTGGGGCACAAGAGCCAGACCCTGAGCAGGTGGCAGGTGGTGTGACTTGGAGGATGGGTGGATGTGTAAGCCGTGCAAGGTGGGGAGCCACCCTTCCTGCAAGGCAGGGGTGGAGGTGAGGATGGATGCAGACACAGACAGCTTTGAGGTAGGTGGGAAGGAAGGTGGCAAATTATGCCTAATGGACTCTAAAATGGGAAAAGATTGTGTCTTGCGAATGGACAGAGGAGGATGGGGGCAGTGGGAGAGACATGGAAGGGAGGATTGCTGAGCAGGGGTGAGGGCCCTGATAGACCGCACGCTGAAGATTGGTAGTGGAACCAACCCGTAGCTGTGTGTGCTCTCGGGCACTCAGAGCCGGGGGTGAGAGAGGAGAAGGCAGACGGGCGGTTGCGTGGGGTGAAGGCAGGGAGGGACAGGCGGGGCGGGGCTCCTGGCACTGCAGTGGAGTCGTTGCTGGTGCGGATGGGTAGCCGGAGCCAGTTGGGTGGCCTCAGGCCCAGGGTCTAGCTGTTGTAGCAGATTAGAGGAAGGTGAAGTAGGAGAGCCGGAGACTGGGAGGCCAAGAGGCTACAGGGGCGAGGTTGAGACATCCACCTGGGGATGCTTCTGGGTGATAATGAGGTGTGAAGGACTGCGCTGGGGGGAGCTGAGAAGGGGGCGGGGATGAAGATCTTCCAGGCCGAGGAGTGGAAAAACGCCGCGCCGTAGGGAGGGGTAGGAGGAGCCCACCATGGGCAGCCCTGGTCCCTGTTGGTAGACGCTGTGGTGGAAGAGCAGAAACGTTTAGTCCTGCCCTATGCTTTCGTCAGCTCCCTCTCGGGGGTAGGTTAAAAACATCAAAGAGGGATTTACAGTCACCAGTTGTGAGACCAGCGATGAAGACTGATGAACACGTTTGAGTAGGGCGTAAACTGTTGGGCCGTTTAGCGCAGTGGAGC